ACCGACTTGAATGACAGATCAATCGATATATCGCAAAGCACGCCACACCACCGAAAGCTTCCTTACCCAACATTCGTTACGAGTCCCAGGATCCGAGCCTGGAAGACCACAGAGTAATGAACTCCACTTGGAACTGCATGGATATCCCTTTATTTTGAGAACCCCATGAACTCTGAACCCCTCTGACCGCACTATGAAAGTTAACAAGGAGCGTTATGAGGCAAGCGGGAGGTGATAGAACTGGGTTAAGGTGCCCTTTACCGGATGACGTCACCTTTGGGACGCGTGTGCGCCGGGGCGGGAGGTGCGCTATGCGGCTCGGCTGCGTTTGTCCTCCCACGCCAAAGCTCCCCGCCCCCCGTCCCACTGCGANGGGGGGGGGGGGGGGGGCGTTGGGCAACGGGGACAGCGGCCAAGTCGGCCCGGAGGTGCCGTTGGTAGCACGTTGGCCGTCGCCCCAGACGTGGCTCCGTGACGCAACGAAGTCCCGCGGAATGCCGCTTATTTGGAAACGCCACCGCCGCGTCGCGGCCGCCAAGGACCCACGGCAAAAGGGCGCCTTCGCCCTTTGACCCGAAGATAACAATCGGGTTTGCTAATTAGACCGGCGCTGATGCCGCCTCTTCGCGCCGGGCCAGGGAGGCGCACCTGCGGCCGCTCCCGCTGCACCTGTGAGCCTTGCACTCGGGTGCATTGTTGATTCGAGTGGGGTGGTTCCGCGCGGGGGAGTGGGAAGGGACGGGTCGCGAGTAGCGTTTGATCAAACAAGGGGTGCCGTTTCGAATGTGTTGTCGAGAGAGCGGACCGGGTCTGCGGGAAGCTGGAACAGGGTGACAAGTTCTTGAACAATCGAGTTAACAACTGGGAAACTTGGTAAGTTTTACATTACACTGGAAAAAAAACACATTGGATCTAGAGTCCAGACTCTTGAAAACATCGACAAGAAAAAGTACTCTTGATTCAATCAGAATCTAGCTTAAATCAAGAACCAAGCCTCTTAATTTAAGCGGATTTCCTTTTGATTCAAGCAAAAATCCGATTGAATCAAGAGTATTTTTTCTTGTCATTGTTTTCAAGAGTCTCGACTCTAGATCCAATGTATTTTTTTTCCAGTGTGGTGCTTAGGACGGGGAATAATCATGATACATCGGTATTCGACAGGGAATGAAAAATTTCAGGGAAAATGAGGGAATCTATTCAAGGAACCAGAAATCTCTTCTTCTACCGCCTAAAGACCTTTCCGTTTTCAAATTTTTTGAAAACTTCTAGTGCCTAATAATGTCAAAATTCATGTTATTTCTCCTAAGCCGCCATCGTTGATCTCTTGAATGACGTTATTGAATCCTCAAATCCCTATTATAATATAACAACTTTCATTGCCCCGATGATGTAAGCATCATGAACGTTTTTGGGATGAAGAATTTGAATTTGCGCCAAAGAATTTGGCTGAAACATGAAAAAACCCAATATTCATATCTGGAATTCCGGAGAGCTGCATAGCCTTTCATAAAAAAATCCCAGGGAAGTGGGAGAAAACTTCAGTTTCTCATCAGAGAGTGAGCTCACGAAAATCAGGGAAAACTCAAGGGATGAGCATGATCAAGAATTCTCCTCGAAATAGGCAAGGGGTGACTCCCGCGATTTCATCACTTTTCTTCGCTTTCCTGGCATTAGGGCGTAACCACACTCTGGAATGAACCCTGTCTTCTATACAACTCAATGCTTTTCCGGGCTCATCTCAATTTGTCTTTACGCCCTTACATCAGCCAAGCGACGCTTTATTGCAAGTGCGGGGTCATATTCGTTGACTAGCGTGTGGGAAAGAGTTAATTAGCACACTTGTGTATGACTTATTTTGCACCCCAATTAAAGAGATTGCTAATTACGTATTGGTCAGTTTTCCCTCGGTCGTCTTAAACAACTGTAGTTCACCGGTGGCAGGAATTCGAGAGAAAGGGACTTTTCTCATGGCTCAGGCCTCAAGGTTCGTTTTGCCTAATAAATAGGTCTAGATCGGAAGAAAGTGATAGCGCCTGCGATGGGGCAACACTGGGCGGACACGACAGTTCTTCGCCCAACGATGACTATGGCCACGGCACAGTGGCGAGGCGTGAATGATCAATTATCGATATTTGCCCTTTTGAAGCTATGGTAAAGGATCGATTATAAAGGTGTTTGTTGCAAAAACCTGTTAATCGATAAATTTCCATAGGATTAAATGGAAGATCGATCGATATATCGCAAAGCACGGCTAAGCGCAGGGCGAGAGCGAGGGCGACCCGGCGAACGGCACTGGGTGACGACGGACAGAGCTGCATGATTGCCCTCTAAAATTTTATCACCCCACGTTCACTCCAGGTTCGAGACCCCGGAGTTAGTTTTATGCGAAAATTAGATTTTCGGTCGATTGCCCGGGGTACTATTTTCTAGGTGTGTGCCGGTTCGATTGTACTCATTAGAGTGGAAAGGTGCGGGTTCTCGTTGTACGCGGATGTCTGTTTTGGCGCTTGAGGTAGCTGGAGTACCTATATGGGAGAGTATGTACATGGCGGATAATTTTGAAGGTTAGGTCATGGGTCACGGAGCTCTTAGGGCCCGAGAGAGGGACCAACCTATGAACTCAAATTATCCAGAATAATGTAGAGTTAAAGTTACGACCCTCGTTTGTAAAGTACGTATTTGACTTACTTTTTGCACTTTGGACCTCTTAATGCACTGCAAGGCCAAGATTTTCAAACAACGCAAGATACAAATTCTTAAATGAGCAACTATTGCAGCACGGAAGATGCGTTCTGGCCTACATCGAATATTGAAGGCGAAATGGGAATGTGCGTAATGAACGTACCTCCCCCGTTTCAATTCTGCTTCCTCTAAATTTTCAACCCGTTGACGCCACCTCTAGAGTTCCGGAGAGCGTAGACGTATCAAAAGATGATGCTTTCAGGGTCGAAAAGGGCAGCCAGCCTCAAAACTCAAATTGTATAGCACATAGTTAACTTACTTTTTGCATGAATTCATTCATTTTTGCGGAAGGACGCTCATTTTTAAAAACTATTTTTCATCTCGATTTTTTTTTAATTATATTTTTCGTGTTAGAAGATTGCCCTTTTGGACTCAATGAGCTCCATATTTCGATATGTCCGTACTCTCCCCATACAGGTGCTCTAGGCATGATCATTGAAACTTTTTCCATGGAAAAGCGCTGCACTTCGAAAGATGACACGTCTTCCTCCCGCGGATGGTTTTCCATGCATAGGTAATGCAGTTTGTCCCAGGATTACACGCAGAAACCGCCACTGATTAATGTAGAATCTCGGGAATCCGCAATCGACTCTTTTCGCAAAAGCCCCGGAATGCGCGTTTTTTTCACGGGGCGGTGGCAACGCGGCGCCGGAGCCGTAAGTTATTACTCAGCGTAAGTGTCTCTATCACTCCTGTTTCGCGTCTCGTACGTCTTCTTTCACAGCTCCCTCTCTCTCGGCCGATTTCGTGCGTCCCGGACCCGGTCCCAGTCCCGGTTGTCATCCGCGCCGCGGCGGAGGTGGAGGTGGAGGTGGAGCAGTGGCGTGGCGTGAATTGCGATATATCGATTGTTATGCCATTTAAACCCATGATAAAAGATCGATTATTGAGGTGTTCGCTGCGGAAACCCTGTTAATCGATTCTTTACCATAGTTTCAAATGGCGAGATATCGATAATCGATTGTTCACGCCACGCCACTGTGGAGGTGGGTGCGTGAGCTCGGCGACCGGCGTTTCGCAACCACCCTTGCACGCCGCACAGTGGTCACCTTTCACCCGCCGAGCCCGCTCTCACGCTCCGGGAGCTGGAGCTCCGCAGATGTAGAATCGCGTAACTCCCGGATGAATAATCGAGGAGTTGTGTGGTTGTTGGTAAGGAGGATCCGATCTGATAGGGTGATGCCGACTTGTGTAATTGTGGAGTCATCCGCGTGGACGATGTTGTGTTTGAATGCGGAAAAAAAGGATGGATGTGGTTATCGAATGCCCCGAGGTTGGGTATCTCGGGGGAATCGTCTGAGTCGGGTTAGGTTCGGGTGATCTGGTCGGGTGGACTGGACGGTTTTAAGGGGGGTCTTCACTGCGGGGCCGAATTTTGTTGGTTGTTTCACGTGGAGGTGCAACGTCCATCGATGAGTCTGAACCGCACGACCGACCAATCAGAAGCGCTGAGTCGGACTTAGTGCAGTCGGCACTCGTCTTAAATTTATTTAAAGTGTACGGTGCGGTGGAATGACCAATAAAATTCGGTCCCAAAGGTACAAATTTTTCTCGACCGCCCGACCAAATTGAGGAAGTATCCTAAAAATTTCGGTGGCTAAGAATTTTTTTTCTTTTCCTCTTTAAGTTTTCCTATTTTCACTCTTGTGGAATAATGCAACTTTGGCTCATATTCTCAGAGTATCCGAAAATGTATCAAAGTTTGATCAGCGCCTTTTGTTGACCTTTATTGCGAAAACTCCTACACGATGTTTCAGGTTTTCACGAACAATTCTCCATTTTTCAATGTTTTGAATGATGTTTTTAATTGAACTGCGAATTTATATTGTCTTGTCATTATTCAATTATTTTTTTCGTCAATTATTGTTCTGAAATGTGTAATTTGATTCTCTCCCACTTGGACTAAATTTTACATGTTAAGAGCTACTGTTATTGAAGTTCAGCTAAGATTTTGCAACCTAGTTTATCTTTATTTTACATGAAAAACCTGACAACTTTAACAGTTTCCATGTGTATTCCAAAGAAAATTGTTGATAAAATGAGCATATAACCCTGGCGAATATATTTATTGGTCTACTTTCAGTCACTTTATCGTGAAGGTGAAGGTTGCAAAATCTCAACAAAACTGGAATGCAGTAATTCCCGATTGCAAAATGTAGTCCACAATTGTTAACGTTTATATATGCGCCTTGTTCTCCACAACTTATCTATGAGTTTCCATGCCCGTTCTCAAAATGTTCCTTTCTGTCTGTCCGCAGGTTTCGAAAGAAGAATACGATACATGTCGGATCACGAACCAAAACCCTAGGATCATAGCAGTCTGTGATAAGCCGTACAGGGAAATGTACTTCACCATAACTTTTAGGTCCTTCACGCCGCAACCGAACGGTCTCGAGTTCCATCCCGGCCAGGATTACTACTTCATCTGTAAGTACCCGCTCCTCATCAATCGTTTCCCCAGACGAAGGAACGTAACTCAATTCCACGGTTGCGAAATCCACTCGAACAACTCGATTTTCTACTAAAATACGATGATGCAATTTACGTTCTAAATGCTCCTGATTTTGAAATAATCCAGAAGAAAAATTAAGGAAACTTTAGTTCCAGGAAGGCATATCCTTGGAAAGTCAGGAAAAACCTGCAAAAATCAGGGCATCGTAACTCAATTCCAAGATTGCAAAATTCACACGAACAACTTACTTTTTAATGAGAATATGATGGTGCACTTTCCGTTCAAAATTTTTCTGATTTTTACATAAAGCATAATAAAAATCAGTAAAATTTTAGTTATAGGATCGCAAGTCCTTGAAAAGTCATGAAAACCCTGCAGAAGTCAGGCATCGTAACTCAATTCCAAGACTGCAAAATTCACTCGAACAACTTAATTTTTTATGAGAATGTGATGGTGCACTTTCCGTTCAAATTTTGCTGACTTTTACATGAAGCGAAATCAAAATCAGTAAAACTTTAGTTACAGGATGACAAAATCTTGAAAATTCAGGGAAAAGCTGCAAACGTTATCGACTCAATATTCAGAAACCTTATAAAGTCAGAAAATTTTGCTTCATAACATTTAATTTTTTTTCTTTAAGCCGAAGAATGACATTGTTCAATTTAAAAAGGCCTGATGCTGAAAATTGTTCGTGAAGATAATTTTATGAGAAATCACATTGGGGAAAAAAAAAAAAAAAAAAAAAAAAAAAAAAAAAAAAAACCAGTGAAAATCCCTGACGAGCAAGAAAAAGTTAAGGGATTTTAAAACGCTAGAAAATTTGTCACCCTCAGTCAGGAATGTCCAACAGTCTACCGTCCAAAATAAAATTTGCGAGAGAGATCTCGCAACGTTGGGAAATGGTTACGTCTTTTCGTCGATTTCCCAGTTTTCGAATTTATTTTTACCCATTTCGGCGTCCGTGCGACCGTAAAGCGCTGTTACGGTCCCGCGCTCTTACCTCACCGACCCGAATCTTGAGTAATTAAAATTTAACGTCTTTTTTTGTGAAATAGCCGATCCTCTTGCCCGAGCGGTTACGTCTTCTTTTAATCGCTGCCCGCGTTGTCGATAGCTTCGCCGATAGTCTAGATTGAGATTCATGTGAAGGTGAGAGAATTGCGAAAAGGCAGCCCATTCAGGAAAGAGGAAGAGGTCGAGTATGCAGAACTCGACCGGAGTTTTGGCAATTTGAAGTTTAAAATTCACGGGGGGAAAAAAAAAAAAAAAAACACTTTGGATCTGGAGTCCAGACTCTTAAAAACATCGACAAGAAAAAATACTCTTGATTCAATCAGATTTAAGCTTAAATCAAGAACCAAGCTTCTTAATTTGAGCGGATTTCCTTTTGATTTAAGCTTAAATCTGATTGAATCAAGAGTCCTTTTTCTTTTCAATGTTTTCAAGAGTTTAGACTCTAGATCTAATGTGTTTTTTTTTCCAGTGTTTACAAATTCAAATCGTAATTTTTGTATAAAAATATGACTATCCGAGAATACAAGCGACCATGGGTGAAGAAGATAAACTAAGTGGACGAATTTTTATCGAGTCGAGTCGAAAAACTCAGATTTCGATGAAAAACTCTCGTGTTCTGAAGAACAAGCTACGAGCGTTTTATTTATTTTTGTGCCGAAATCGAGAGTAATCTCTTCAAAATTTAGAAATATTGCACCCTGATTATGGCTGATTATAGCTACCACTCAAAACTGTACGGTTGTTTAATTCCAGATCGCCATAGTTCCTGTTTGTTTTAATATTTATACTTTTTTTTATTCTTTTTTTCTTTTTTTTAAATGCACGTCAAATTCCCCTCTCCGTTGTTGATAGTCACATTTTACATGAAGAAAAGTACCGAAAATCCGCGTCGGCCAGTTTCAAAAATAAAAGTTGCCCAAAAAGCCAATATCACTTTTCTTACAACTCCCATTTTATATTTTGAAATTACTCATGAAAGGATAAAATTTTAAACCGGCTCTCCGATTAATCATGAGTAAAAGCTCTTACCTGCATAGAGAAACTAATAACACGTACGTTGTTTCTACAATGAGCCAAAAATTCTAGATCCTTATTGCAGAATGCAGTCCAATCATGCAACTAACACTGAAACATTGTCCTTCACGTTATCACATAACAAGCGACTCTACATCGTCCCGAACTATCTCAAAAAAATGAAACATTTTGCACATTAATGCGAAGTTTTACCGCTCGGCTACATCATTTTTACCGCTCGTTTGAGCAGCGACGAATAAAGGAAAAAATCTCCATTCAAGAGAGGGAAAAAAAGGAACTCGGAAAAGGAAAGACAAGACATTAAAAGATGAGTACGGCACTTGCGATTTTTCATTATCAACGGTAAAAAGGGTTGTTCCCCGTATTCTTTCAAATTAATTATTATCACTGCTCTTTCCGCTGTTAGCGAAATGAAAGATTTCTCTCCGCATCCTTCGCCAACCGCTCCTTCAATTTCTCCTCTCGAACAGGTACCTAATTATTTCACCACCGCCAAGATCGGAGGGAGGGGGGGGGGTCGAGGGGATGCTTTTCGAGAGGAGGGAAACTTCTGTTACTTCTGTCTGATGATTCCGTTCCTTGTTCTAAGGATCCCGGCCGAACTAAATTAAGTTAGACGCCGCTTAAGAACTCCAGGGGTTTCCGGGTGGAGTGGGGGGGGGGGCTGGCTAAAAAAAACAAACCGGGAACTACCGCTGCAGTAAGTCACCGCAATGAGTCGTGCGAAAGGGGTGCGGGGAGAGAGGAGGAATGGCAATAAAGGGTTAAAACGAAAAATTAGAGCAGGTTTGTTGTGGGTTTTTTTCCCATTATTTTAAATGTGGTTGAATATTCAACCTGCTCTTAAATTAAACGGAATGATTGAAAATTTGACAATGTAACATCCACTGGAAAAAAAAAACAAAAAACATTGGATCTAGAGTCCAGACTCTTGAAAACATGGACAAGAAAAAATACTCCTGACTCAATCAGATTTTTGCTTAAATCAAAAGGAAATCCGCTCAAATTAAGAGGCTGGGTTCTTGATCTAAGCAAAAATCCGATTAAATCAAGAATACTTTTTCTTGTCGATGTTTTCAAGAGTCCGGACTCTAGATCCAATGTGTTTTTTTTTCCAGTGTCGATTATTCTGTCCTCTTTTTATCTCGTTTTTCGTAAGTCATGTGTCTTGAGGCGCTTCCTACTTTCTAGCCAACCAGACTCAATATTCTACACGCAAAAAAATAATTGGTGCTGATGACGGAACCTTCCATTCAGATATCAACAAATTCCAAGGAAATTCAAGAAATGTCCTTGTTACAGTTACAGAATTGTTCTGTTGTGAGAGCAGAACCGCGGATATTGGAAACTTTTGTAGATGTAACATAGAAAGTGCAGGAGCTCCATATGGCTATGGTGTGAAACCACGTATGTCCGTTTGCGACGTCGCAGACTTCCCGACTTTCTTTGGAAAACACTAGTCAACGCAATAGCTTGACAACTTCCTTGGTTTGTCTTCTTTTTCAGCAGAATATTCTGTAAAAACTTCAAGCCATAAAGTTGGCTTCTTTCTCTTTGACAGAATAAAATAGGAACGGCAATTTGAAACTCCGCAATGGAGATACGTGGTTTCGCACTTTAGCGTCCATATTTTCCTCCATCCTTGTAATCCTGAACGAGGTAATGCCGCGTCTCTCAAGATAGTCGGTCTCGGATAAGACCCTCGTCCCGTTTGAACGTATTTCCGCCAAACGGAACTATGTGCATCATGACGTGAGCCCTGTTATGCATATATTCTTATAGGTCTCAGGGCTCACATCTTAATGCACATAGTTCCGTTCGGCAGAAATACGTCCGTTTAACTGAATAATCCACGGCGATGACCCGGATGATTTGTCTGAAAAACTCCTCCGTGAAAGCGAAGCGCGAAAGCTCCTTCCCCAGGATTTGAAAAAGCGAAGCGTCTGGGGACTTGTTGACTGGGCTCGCCCGGGACGGGGTCCAAGGGGGCCCGGGGGACNGGGGGGGGGGGGGGGGGGGGGGGGGGGGGGGGGGGGGGGGGGGGGGGGGGGGGGGGGGGGTGGCCGGGGATAAATTCAAAAGAGCCGGAGATAATGACTTGAATAAATACCGGGGAAAGAGAGCCAAGAGCGGCGGTAATTGAATAATTACCACCATGGTTTTTGGAATGACCTCCAGTCCCGTCCCGAGTCCCCGAGTGTCGTTCGGGACGCCGCGTTGCCGCGTCCCGCGGGTCCCCAGGGAGGCTCCTGGTTTTGAGGAAAATATGAGGAAAATTGTTGGGGGGATGAACAGTTGACTCCGAATATTTGATCAATGCAATCTGAAGCTTTGCAGGGTGTCTAGCATCAGGAAAAACGGAAAATGTAAGGAATTGTGGCCGATCAGGAAAATCGGAAAAATCGGACGTTTTGTCAGGGATTTTTATTACGCGAATTTACTCAGTGGAGAAAGTCTTACTGCTTTTTGCCTACCGTGCCAAAATTAAAAAATACTAGACACCCTGTTTTAGTCAACGTAATCCCCCAAAAAACTAAGCATAAAATATTAATCGCACGGTATAGACGGACTCAGAGACTTCGAACGGGAGAAGGGAGGGCTGTGGTGGGAGGGGGTCCGGGGAGGGGGCTTTTCCAGAAAATTGTCAAAATGTTTAAGTATCTAACATGCATTTTGAATCGATTTTGTCTCGTCATTGGCGAACCCAGACATTTCGAAGGGGTGAGGGATGGGAGAGAGGGTGCGGAGAAGGGGCTTTCCCAGAAAATTTTATAAATTTTTAAGCATGTAACATGCATTTTGAGTCAATTTCGTCTTGTTTAATTACCAAATTTCAGCGTCCCTCCTTCTTCTTTCCTCCGTTTCTTCTGTTTTTCTCTCTTTCTACCCTTTTTCATTCCCCTTTTTTGGGGCGAACGAGGGAGGC